CATAATCCATAAAACACAACAATTCACAATGGTCATCAGGAGAAAACTATGGCATTTGCCCGGGTATGTCAGTATGTGAGGCTGGTCTGAGAAGTCTTAATAAACAATAGTTCTAATAATCAAAAATGATTAAATTAAATAACATGAAAGTGCCCCGTCCATATTTCATATTTGATTAAAATAATTAGTGCGTTTGGCAAATACCAGGTAAATCAATAAGTTCCCGGAAAAAGGCTCTCATTTCTTTATTTTTGTACCAACCTTATTGAAACTTTCACAGATGAAAGATAATTTAGTTTCTCCTTACTTTGTGGAATATGAAATTTTTTCGGCTAATCCTTCTTAAGACACGGTTGCCATAGCAACTTGAAGAAACGCCCTGCGGGGCAACTTTTAAATGGTGAATAATGGGAGAAAATCTATGTCGAAAACCAAAATGTATGGTAAAGATCAATTTTATCGATACTATATATAAACTTCTTCAAACATTATCATGTGATGTCTATTAAGTAGCATACATTCTATGATAGATGTTTACTCTAGATGTTCAAAATAGTCACCACGATGCTACACACAGAGTTCCTGCCGGCGTACCCACTGGACGGGACGTCCTGATCTGGGGACGTCACTCACTTTCCGTCAGCCCTCGGAATACCTGGCGTACCAATCATAGATTGCACTCTTCTTAATAGCATCACCATAGCCTTTTTGTACTTCAGTCACTGTGTCTTTCTTTGAGATATTCCTTAATACACAAAATCTAATGGACCTTCTGATCTGGGTTAAGAGTTCTTGTCTTGAGAGCTGGTCATTTTCCGTTCGGACTCCATTTTCTGCATTTGATCTTGATTTAATCAGATAACCGAGTCTCTATGTCATATTCCATATTGTGTGAAAGAACAAAGGAGCTGACTATGATGTAATAGAACAACTAAAACCTGAATTCAGAAAAGATAAAAAGATTAATGAATGAATCTAGCACTCACTCGGAGACCCCAAAAAATTGCCCGCGGGCCGTTTTTTCAGGTTGCTATGACAACCATGCCTTAAGAATGATTGGTTGACAAAATCTCATATTGCAGGAAGTAATTAGAAACTAAATTATCCTTCATCTGTGAAAGTTTCACGAAGATTAGTACAAAACTAAAGAGATTACAGCCTTTTTCCGGGAACTTATTGATTTACCTGGTAGAATCCTTTTTTATTGCAGTTAATTAAAAATATTCCTATGCTGGCTGTACTAATTCTTCAAAACTTTCCATCATTGACGTCATTGATTTGACTCATTTGCATACAACCAATCAGCGCACCGGAAATTATAGATTTTCTTTACTTTGTGGAAAGGTGAATATCGCCTTCGATATCGTCAACGACAACGGAATCTGAATTTGAGTAATTTTAACAGTGTCAAGATATAGGGACAGAAAATATTCTAGCATAGTAAGAGCATTCAATATACAGTTAGCAAGTGTAACACAGGCCTTGAGTTTATTGATTTTCTCCCTATATCATGACATATATAAGTAATTTAGAAAGACAACTGTGTATGGTAATTACAGTGTCCGTTGTTCCATTTTGATCGGTTTAATGAAATACTTTATTTCGATGGTAGAACATTATGAACTGTACAATGAGTATTAAGACATTTTGATTGATTGTTGTTCCAAAGGAATTTAGTCTAGGTGCTCTATTAAACATACAGTTCATGAAAATCTAATTGAAGCGACAGTTATGTCCGCCATTTGTGACAACGGTATCTGACTTTAAACCGTTGTCAAGCTATTCCGGGGTGCAATAGAAGCCATTGGCCATGGTTTCCATTAATAATTACAAATTCACGCCCGGTGATCGGGAAAATGGGACGGAGGGGGGGAGCAAGCAATTTCTGGTAGAAAAATGAACAAATCTGCAAAAATTATTTTTTCAAGAAAAGGTTTATGATTTAATTGCTAAACGAATAGGCGCACGGTATGGTAAAATATGTCACGTATTTTACGATTTTTTTTTAGCCGATTCTCTTCTTAGGTATAAGATCTATTAAAAAGGCGCAACGCCACCAACGTGCAAAAGTCAATGTTTTGCTTTAAATCAAGCATCAACGGTCTACACAACCTGCAATAAATATTTGTAAGTGACATACGCTCGTATATCACCCTTGGTATACGCATCTAACGAAAATTGACCGGTACGGGTCAAAAGCTGGACCGGTACGGGTTAACGGTTTTATTTGAATTTAAAACAGCCTTAACTTGCTCAATATTGACTTCCTCGTGTCTAATTTGAAATATATGATGCCTCCCGATGCTTTTAAATACCCCAATTTTTTACAGATTTTTAAACGGACCAAAACTCTCTAAAGAATTTCATCAGCTATTGCCCCGAACCGGTCTGTCTTCTCGCTGCAAGCAGATTGCCCCAAACCGGTCCGTCTTCTCGCTGCAAGCAGGATGAAATTCTTTGTCACAAAGTTTGGCAATTTTTATAAAATCAAACGCGTGTCATTGAAACTCACAAGATGTAAATAGCATGTCATTTACATCATACCTTGATGGGGAAAAATAGATCTTATATGTTAGAAGTACTAAATAAAAGTTATCGTGAAATTTAGAGAGTTTTGGTCCGTTTAAAAATTTGTAAAATAAATGGGGTACTTAAAAGCATCGGGAGGCATCATATATTTCAAATTAGACACGAGGAAGTCAATATTGAGCAAGTTATGGCTATTTTAAATTAAAATAAAACCGTTAACCCGTACCGGTCCAGTTTTTGACCCGTACCGGTCAATTTTCGTTAGCTGCGTATACCAAGGGTGTATATAATATTATCATCATAAAATTAATGACCTTAATGACTTTACTACGTTTTATTTAACGCCGTCCTTACATTAGATGGACCCCAAAAAATAATGCTGGACGGAAAAATAAAAAACTCCCGAGTCCCTTGGACGCACTTTATTTCCACAGCAATTTCTAAAAATCTTACCTTTCAATTTAGTTAAACATATCAAATGAAAGAATATAAATTAGCCTACCTTGTGAAGACAAAATCTAAGTATAATAGGCAGATAATCAGCAGTGTTTTAGAGAAACACTGAGATAATTATCTTACTGTAATTCGGCCACCATTTTGATTGACCTCTAAAACCAAAACTTCATTGCTTTGAGATTAATGGGTCAGTAGCAAAAAACCTTTATCACTGTCCTGCCATCTTTCAATGGATACTGTGAATTATTAACAATAAGTATTACACATAAACTTGATAACAAACTGTTTAATTAATACAATTGATCTTTTTGGCATTTACTTACATGATAGTGAGGAAGCACAAAGGGCAACATTTGAAAACAAATAAAATATTACAAGTCAAAAATACATATCAAACTATTGAATGTTGATCTTTATATTTCATTGAGATTGATAATGTGTCAGAAAGGAATATTGAGTTTATTAATTTACATCAGAGTGAGGAGGAACAAGGAGCAACATTGAAAAACAAAGTAATTAGGAAAACAATTTTCATTTTTAATTAGTTTCAGGCCTTTAATTTTTCGGACCCACTTTTTTGGGTTTGGACTCTATTTTTTTTACCGTGGGGTCCACTGGACCCACTTTTTGGTAACACTAAATAAAACGCTGCTTTACAAAATATGTTTCCATATGTTGTATAAAAAATAATCGAAAATAATTAAAATGGGACGGAGGGGGAGGGGACGGAGGGGGGAGCAAAATGTCTATACGACATGATGAGAGATGTTACTTCACTTTATATCCAAATTTTCCCATTTTCTCCTCAATTACAATGGGTTAGGAATTGATAACAAGTTGTATTCGTAGTCAATTTCTCATGGTACGCCACATATTTAAATGAGACGCTGGTTACATATTTTACTCAAGAAAAAGTGTACAATTCATAACCCATGGCTAGATATGCATATTATGATTTTATATCAAAAATTAAAAAAGTTACAGTGGCGTTTTGGCCCACCCTGTATGTATAACCTTGGATTATTTAGTACTAGGGACATGTCTGCATGCTCCCCAGGCGTTTGGAATAAATTTAATTATTGTTGGTGTATCTAAATTGTTGTTGGTGAATCTAAATAATATGTATGCCCGAGTGCCATTGGAAGACATCTACGTGTGAACCAATCATAAGGAAAACAAACCCAACTATCCCAAACAATAATCAAACATTGAAGGAAACAATGTAACATACCACCACCATTCAAGTTCCATTTTCACTTTCCAGGACCATAGCACCAAGCGACAATCCATGCATATAGAAACTATATTGCTTTGATTTAAAGTTATGTGGTCAATGAAAATATTAACATACATTGACAATGCAAATTTACCAATTATACACTATGGCCTGAATCAAAAAAATTCACAATATGACATAAATGGTATATCTCATCAAATGTGCAAATATGACGTTTGCAAGAACAAGAAGTTACAAGATTTCATCATTAATTTTTCCCTACAAAATGGCTTTTGAAAAATGCTCCAAGGGCTAGCTTTACATCTATCAAATGTCATACAACTTTGTCCAAAATCCAAAGATTATACTACTGTGTTTCATTATTAATAAGTTATGTGGGTAGGATGTAAGGATGCGAAGGATGCAAATGGATTTTGACAGACATAATGTATTTCATTTTGAAAATCGGGTGAATTACTTTTTCTTCATGGGGAAATCATAATGGAGAGTGAAATATATAGCATTTGTTTTAAGTGGACAATATACCCTATATGGTTGAATGGTAACTTACGTCTTGGTAAAAGGCATTGTTTAAACCAATGGACCAACTCTATCACAACTTGTAAATCCTGTCTTTCTGATCCAAATGTCCCACCTCGACCATCAACTAAAGCGATGACACGCTCTATGTCGTCCTTAATACGCCACAATTTTGTCGCAAAGGTTTGGCCCCAAGTACAAATATTCGGAACAATCTGGTTATCTACATTATTTAGTATATTCTCCAAGTTTCCAAACTGCTCGATACCCTCTAAGTCAGCAAGTACTTGATCGATAAGGCCTTGTTCGGTGGTATCAAATACCGTAGCTTCGGAAATGTGACGAGTTTTAGACTGGACTAAAAAGCCAATTACGGATGATGCGTCAATCAAACCTGTGTGTGTGTGAAATACACATATTATGCTAGTTTTTTGTGTGTTATCTAAAATAAATAAAACATGAAAAACACAAACGGAGGTTCGGGGAGTTCCAACTATCTATTTGGGGATGTTGGTTTAAATTCCTCGTTGTTGTATTTCATTCCAGAGCATTGGTAGAAAAGAACAAAAAAAAACAAATTATACTAAAAACAAAAATAGTACAAAAAAACAATAGAAAATAAATTTAGTTCACCAAATCGCAACCAATCCTATTTTCGCCTCTTGACAAATTATAATTTCATAGTTCTACCCCTGACTACCAATATGTTTGCTAATGACACGGATGGCCCATAAACTTACCTGTAACGCAGCCACTGCAACAACCTCGTGAATCCACGCTCGGTAGACACACCCCGTTCTGTGTGACGGGGGTGATGATCTGAAGGCATTCCATAAAAAGAACCAGTCCAGTAAAACCTGAACACATTTGTCCACATCTCATCCCTGGACCTAAATGCATATAAAACATGAAAACAAGCATCATGTTCTGCACTCCGCATATTCATGAATTTCAGCAATTATTTCTCATCAGCGTTTCATTTATATAGCCGTTTTTATATGGTCGAACCCCCAACATCAAGTGAACACCTTATACCTCTGATTTTCGATTTCGCTATTACAATTTTCAAAAATTATCATTTAACAAAATAAAGCGAGCCATATAATAGTAGCTGATCTGTATTTTATTATGCATTCTAAAAACTCACGAAAAACTCACCGGTCGTCCACATTTGACTTGAAACTGTCAAAAGTGACGTCCAAAGAACAGCAACAATGAGCGTGATTCTTGGAACTTCCATCATAAGCGAAACAATGGGTGTTTCAGTATGAGAATGCCTCCTCAAACTGCTGGAATATGATGTATAAAAACATAAAGATGAAAAGATAAATGCTACCTGACGTTCAGCTATTGTATCGTATTGACAGCTTTTGACGACAGCATTTGTCGGTTGACAACATTTGAATCACTTGATAGACAGTTTTTAATGTCAATAATTCCAGTTGATCAAATAATCAAGGAGGGTTGAAACCCATTACTTTAACGCGATCTTCAGTTTCCTGGCGTGGAACAATTAAGTCATTATATTTCTATAAGGTTCACCTTTTAACGGAGTATTTCATTGGAAGAGGACATTGCGAGTATTATGGTGATATAAAATAGTATTCAAACTCCCCTAGCAGTACTAGTCTTCAAGACATGGAGAATATCGTTACCAAATTGTTTCACGCCAGGCAACATAAGATCTAGATTGAATGACGGCTGCCAATCCTTATTGACGAACAATTGTATTTCACACCATCATGACATTTGCCCTTGGAAACTACTGTTAAATCCAGAAAGTGCCGCTACAGATGGATTGCATTTTTGTTAAAGTTACAACTTTTCACAGTAATCGAAATGATTTATTTTCAAAGTTGAAGCAAAGTTTTATACTCTCAAGGAGTTACAATTATTCATTATCGAAACGTTATAATATTGGGAAATCAATGCATTGTTCAGATTATTGTTTGCTACATATAGTGTGTTATTACATACATATGATGATGTATGGTGTAAACTGTTCAAAAGACAGCGGGCCAAGTTTTGAAAAGCCTGCGCCCGCTAACTTTCTGATTGGCCATACCGATCAACTAAAGATAAAACTATGCAAGCAATTTTTCTAAACTCACTTCAGTCACCATTTATTTCACAAAACATCACTTAAAGAGAATGGGTCGTCTAAAACACAATTAGAGTAAGCCCCTTGATGTTTTCACGTTATATGTAAAAGAAGTTTGTCTGTGTACTTGCCAACGTTTAGGCTTCAACTCATTCGCTAACGGCATCAATTTGACGATTGTTCACAGCCAGAATTTCATCCTGCATCAATCGATAGTCGAAAGAATCGAAATTAAAATTAAAATATCCTGCTCCAGTCTGATTGGCTGGCGGACTTCAAATGACGTCACTTTTGAGTTCCCGGATGATGCCAGAAGAAAACAAAATGGATACAACTCCTAAACCAAAAAAAGAGGGAGACCACCTAAACCACCAACTAGTGAAAAGAAAAGAAGGTTAAAGCATATACAAGGAAATTTAATAAGAGTCGGTTGTACATAGGTTCAGAAATCAGACGCTGGAATACCGTGAAAGCTGATATCAGAGCAAAAACTAATACGGAAGTGGCAAAATATTTTTTGAATTTGTAAGTTTTTGTTTTTATGAAAATGAAATGTTGGATATAAACTAATCGCCTAATTGTGGCTGTAATCTGTAACATTGCATCGTACAAACTTAAAATAAACAATGTAAGGGTACTCTAAAGTCTAAACAAATACACTATGCCTTGAAATTAGGATGCATTATGGCAGTCTCGGTCAGAGTGCACATTTGAATATTTTTGTAGTAGTCTAGTCTAGAGCTAGATCAAGTCGTGTCTATTATTTTGAATATTGTCACGGTCATGTTGTACTTTAACATTACCACAGTCATAACAGGACTTGCAACCATTGTCACGGTCATATCAGGCTTTAACATTACATGATATTGATAACATGGTGACGGTTGTGCCAGGCACCAGAATTGCTACAGAAAGGGTCTCAAAATATCCATTAGCAGGCCTGTAGCCCCCCCTGGCCATAATTTCTTTCAAAACAATGCAGTTTTTCACCGATATGACTATTTTTTTGAGTGATTTTTGGCCAAATTTGCCAAAGTGAACCCCTCCTCTAGAATTTTTGCAAAAAGTGAGCCCCCCCCCCCCCCTTGGAAAATTCTGGCTACGGGCCTGTATAGATTGTGAATATAAAAATAGAGACCGCACGAGTGATAAGAAGTAGGAGTGTACATGTATGCCATCAATCTAAATTAATGCTGTTCATGTATTCAATTGTAGATATTTTACTAGGACAGCAGATGTAGAACAAGATGATGAAGATGGACAACGTGAAGAACCCAAACTGAAAAGTGACAGTGACGATGCCAAAAGTACTTCAAGGTATGTAATATTGTTCATTCCTTTCTCATCTTCACCTATCCATATCATTATGGAGCAGTCCTCTCAATTTAATACAAAGTAAAGGTTAAGGTACACTAACCAAAACAGATTTCAAAGTGCTATATATAATCACAAAGTACAGACGTTAAGTATTTTAATTAATTTAATTTCGTTACATAAAACCATTTGCGTAAACTATTGGTCATTGATTACTGCATCTATTGTCTATTCCCCCTCAGTCTTGTCCAGAAATGATGAGTAAACGAGCTACATGTACAGTGTCACTGGATTGCAATTTGAACCTTCCTATTTAACCTTCCTCTTTCCAGTACATATACATCATCATCAGACAAATCAGGGCCATTCAAGTCAATTTTGAGCCCCATTGCTCATGCCTCAGGCATGCCAGTGAAACATGTGTATGGAAGTCCTTTGTCAGCTCCTAATTTTGATCTTTCGGACTCGACCAGTTCTGAAGAAAGTAGTACATAGAAAGAAGTCTGTGGCACTGGAACTAGAAGAAACTCTTCCCTATCCAATCGGGTAAGTTTATCTATTTGTACACATTTTGAAATGTTCATAATTATTGAATAGGCCTATAACCTAATGTAATTTATAACAAGTACATATAGCTCACATTTAGTACATGTAATTTAATATTAGTTTCAAGATTTAGAATATTTGATGATTACATATACTGTAAAACGGGTAATTTTGACACCGGGAAATTTTAGCAATTTTTCAATTTTAGGGGGTTTTAGCGCAGGAAATAGCGAAATGAAGATTAATCTTTAAAAAATCAAATTAGCGAAATGCATTTGCTCACTTATGGTACTTGAGAATTTAAGCAATATCATTGGTTGTTGAACCGTGTTCAATTAGTACCTTTTATCTTTATGTTTACTACTAATACTATTTCACTGATGGATGGCTATTTATCCTTCAGATATTGAAAGAAACATACGATTTAAAAATATTTACCTTTTTCAAATTACAAACCGGAAGTCGAGCACTGAACGAAAAGCTCCTTAAGGATGCAGTACCGGGTCGGTTTTCACGTCTGTTTGCGCAGGTTTGACTTCCGGGTTGAGAAAGCTAGCTCCCAAGAACGTCGTTTTCGCATTTAGTCTTATTCAAAAATTATAGTTTATTTCGATAATGGTGTTTCCAGAAAAGAATTAAATTGCAAACATTTTATCAAGCATATTTTATCCCTTTCACTTTTATGGGAAAACTTGTTCTTGAGTCACAATTAGTGGATACGAAAACCAGGGTTCGAAAGGTGCCAGCTCTATTGAAAACTCAAAAAAGTAAAAAGATTCATTTTGGGTGGGTAAAATAATTTTTTTATTTTGTAATTACCAGACGGTCAATCCTCTTCATATTGCACTTGGATGATGATAACATCATAGTGATACATTGTAAAAAATATGAGCGAAATCTAATGTCTGGAACTTTTTCTACGCTGACCTGGTACTGCATCCTTAAATACTACTGTAGTTTCCCGTGAATTTGCAAATTTTAGTGCCCGGTTTATTTTAACCCCGGTTTATTTTAGCGAATTGAATTTTTAGCGAAACTATAGCGATCGCTAACAATCGCTAACAATTACCCCTCGCTAACAATACCCGTTTTACAGTACTAAGTATATTATTCGTATCACTTGTTAAATATTGAATAATAGCAACCTCATTGCACAGAAATATGTTAAAAATCAATTAACTTTTTTTACAGTGTGTCAGTAGAACTGAGGCCTAAGCTTCGGGATGAAATCAGTGGGTAATCAGATACTTCAACATCTAATAAGGATGACCCAAACAGTGACAGTGATTGGGAACCTGACTATGAAGATTTAGAGTATGACTCTGGTGATGAACCAGATATTTGCCTTGGGTAAGTACAATCACAATTATGCATGCTTTTTAAAAAAGTTATTGAAACACAATCACAAAAAATTAAAATTCATAAATCATGTAAATATTCACCTATATATATTTGAGCCCAAATGTTCAACTTTTAAAGTGACATCAAACCTAAAAAATATAATTCTTGTATATTGACCAATAGAGCTATAGATGAATTTTGTGGTAAGGCAAAAACATTAATTTACAATGTAAACAGGTTAGAATTATTTTTCTCATATGACTAACAAAGATACAGCCATCTTTACCCCATGCAAGATATTGCCATCTTTCATCCTAAAAAGTCACACGTGCAAGATGAGATTTACTTGTGACATCACTGGTCTATAAACATTAACATCATGGCAACGGACACACCGTTGCTATGAGTATCCATGCTAATTCTACAAAACAAAGTTGTGACGTCATAACAATGTAGCTTTGTTGCAACGTGTATATGTGTATTTTCTTCAATATTGTTATGACGTCATTACAATTGAAAGATGAAGATCAATTAATTTGAAACTATTTTTCACTCAGTTTTATGATAAAATGGTGAAAATATGGCATAATATATATAACATTTCAGTTGCTATGGTAACATCACTTGATAATCAGGTTTTTACATTTCACTTTCTTTAAAAAGGTGGTCCAAAATAACACTTCTTGAAAAGGTTATGCTCCCTAGGTAAGAGAAAGTGCTCTTTAGAGATAAATAGTCACATGAATTTGTTCAAAAAATTATAACTTAATTTTACCCCATCTCGCCAGCCACCAAATTTGATGATTTTGGTGAAACTGGCAAAATACATTAATTTACTAGGTCCCCAGTGGCCCCAATAACCTATACAGGGGCCCCCTGTGGCCTCCAGAAGCCCCCAGTAGCCACAGAAGCTATACAAATTCCCCCAATGGCCCCAAGAAGCTATAAGGTGGTCCCCAAAAGCTATACAGGGGCCTATGGTAGCCCCCAGAAGCTATATGTTGGCCCCCAGAAG